AAAAATGGTTGTTGGTACATACTTGAAATTCGACGGAATTCTTTATATGGGCACTATTTTCGAACTGAACCAACAATCTGATGAATATTTTAATACTGAAAAATTTTATGGACGAAAACATTAAAAATTTTGTTAATAAAATACATTTTATAAACTTAACTCAAAATAAAATAAAATTTAACATGAAATTTTTAGAATTTTAGGTTCACGGTAGTTTCCAAATGTTATAAAAGCTATATATTAAATATGGAATTAAATTATGAAACAGAATGTTTTAAACTGTGCGCGCAAGTTGGAAACATGACGAAAAATGTTGTCACAAAGCGGATTAAATTATAAAATATTTGTGGCAACACAAACTTTCTGATGACTATTTCAGAAAGCAGCTATATTATGTAGTCAGCTGTAGGAAGTTAGTAGTAATTGCTTTTAAAATAAGTAAGTTATCCCAATTCTTGCAACAGTCACTTCTTCGAACATCTTATGGGTTTTAAGGTGTATGAGTCCCCTTAACAAAATTGTCGTCAACAGTGGGTTCATTGTATCTAAGATTAAGATATATATTTGTAGCTACTTATACTAGCAGAAAATACAAAAGATGTTGCTTATGTGTCCGCAGTTAATGTTACCGTTCGGATATTGTAATCGAATTACAGGAATCACCCCTTTTGTATGAAACATGAAAAATACATTGCTCATTGTGATCAGCATTTCAGTTAATATGAGTTTCGGTTAATAAATAACTTTTTTAACTGAAGTAAAGTCGTCAAATAAATTTTAAAAAGATTATAAAAGTCGCCAACTGGCAGAGGAATGTCGCCAAGTAAGGAATTAAGTCGCCAAACTGCTTGGTTTCGATTTTAGTCAACTATTTAAAATTAAGCAAAAAACCAACCTTAGTTTGGCGTATATTTTCAATAGCTGTATTGATTTTGAACGCAATTAAATGCTCTTTGCTCAAGACAAAAAAAAGGAAGATCTGAAAGCCTTCAGGTTTTATATTACACCTAAAAGGGCGTTTTCTAACGTTTATAATTTCCAATCTCGCGCGCTGGAGATAACTTTTTTTTTTTTTCGTGCAGTGTTGCTATTGCTCGCTTTGAAATCGTTGATTTAATTCGTTTGTGAAAGTTTGTGTTGAGTTAATCGTTGAGTCTGTTAATTAAAAATTCGTTAAAAGATTACAAAATTTGAAATAGATAATAAAAAATTCGAAATTTATAATTAGGGCTTCCAAGTGCTCATGTTCGGTTGGAGGACTACGTTATTCAAAATTTGCTTGTTCTAGGTACAGTTGTTTTTGCACAATGCGAGAAACATTCATACATTCATGTAGATTCTTCATTATTTAGTTTCTTTAAATATAATACATGGCGATAATATTTGGTGGCAACAGTTTGAAAGCGAACCAACGCAAAAAGTGAAACGACCCAAAATTCAGTTTTGAGATTAATAGCCCTATGGGTTTAACGCTCTTTTGGGCTAAAAATAATTCTGAAGAATTTTGTGTCTCCCCTGAAAGCATCCCTGCCAATCTGAAATTGGTTTTCTGTTTAATTTTAAATTTTACATTGGCTTGACCTCATCCTATGATGGATGCCCTCCGAGTATTAAGTTTAGGGGTAAAAAATCGGTCAAATGATTTCCAGACATGTTTTGAATCTTTCATAAATGAACATTTACTTTGAAGATATTACGAAAAGTTCATAAAAAGGCTTCTGCATTTGTCAAATTGCGAAGTCTTGAACTATATATTTATATGTTACTAGTTGTACTTACATTAAAGTAGTGTAATACTTCTTTGGAGAAATGAAGCAACTCCAATGATGGAACACAGGAATAACTTTTATTTAACACTCAAAAAAATGGCGACATACAAACAAGAAGAGAAAACATATTCTAACACTTAAAAATAAATTACATTCTTCGTGCGAGAGTCGCACGTGGCACTCGAGTCTGGTTTTAAATATTGCCATTCACAAATACCTTAATGTTCATCTATTTAAATTATTTAAACTACAAGATTTTAATACTATTTAAAGCTGTTACAGTAGTTAAATTCCACTGATGTTTTGAAGGATATTTTTTCTCATCGTTTAATGGCATCATTTGGTTAATATTATCAAAAAACCGTGAACAAACGTGATCATATTAAATGGCACAATGTAAGAATAATATGCAATCCAAAACCTGATGTGTTTCACAAAGAACAAAACAAAACAATCAAAATACTTCGCAATTGTTAGACTCTTGGATGCATTCATACTTAAACTGTTTCCTATATCGTAGCCCTTAAATTCGATTGCTATTTTGAAGGATATTTTTTTCTTATCGTGTAATGGCATCATTCAATTAATGTTATGAAATAACCGTAGACAAACGTGATCATATTAAATGGCACCTAATGTAAGAATAATATGCAGTCCAAATTCTGATGTGCTTCACAAAGAACAAAAGAAAACAATCAAAATACTTCGCTGTGGTTACTCTTGGATACATTTCCCTATATCGTAGCCCTTAAATTCTATTGCTGTTTTGAAGGATAATTTTTTTTATCGTGTAATTGCATCATTCGATTAATGTTATGATGGAAACATTTCCCTATATCGTAGCCCTTAAATTCTATTGCTGTTTTCAAGGATAATTTTTTCTTATCGTGTAATTGCATCATTCGATTAATGTTATGATGGATACATTTCCCTATATCGTAGCCCTTAAATTCTATTGCTGTTTTGAAGCATAATTTTTTCTTATCGTGTAATTGCATCATTCGATTAACGTTATGATGGAAACATTTCCCTATATCGTCGCCCTTAAATTCTATTGCTGTTTTGGAGGATAATTTTTTCTTATCGTGTAATTGCATCATTCGATTAATGTTATCATGGATACATTTCCCTATATCGTAGCCCTTAAATTCTATTGCTGTTTTGAAGAATAACTTTTTCTTATCGTGTAATCGCATCATTCGATTAATGTTATGATAGATACATTTCCCTATATCGTAGCCCTTAAATTCTATTGCTGTTTCGGAGGATAATTTTTTCTTATCGTGTAATGGAATCATTCGATTAATGTTATGATGGATACATTTCCCTATATCGTAGCCCTTAAATTCTATTGCTGTTTTGGAGGATAATTTTTTCTTATCGTGTAATTGCATCATTCGATTAATGTTATGATGGATACATTTCCCTATATCGTAGCCCTTAAATTCTATTGCTGTTTTGAAGAATAATTTTTTCTTATCGTGTAATGGCATCATTCGATTAATGTTATGATGGATACATTTCCCTATATCGTAGCTCTTAAATTCTATTGCTGTTTTGAAGAATAATTTTTCTTATCGTGTAATGGCATCATTCGATTAATGTTATGATGGATACATTTCCCTATATCGTAGCTCTTAAATTCTATTGCTGTTTTGAAGAATAATTTTTTCTTATCGTGTAATGGCATCATTCGATTAATGTTATGATGGATACATTTCCCTATATCGTAGCCCTTAAATTCGATTGCTGTTTTAAAGGATATTTTTTTCTTATCGTGTAATGGCATCATTCAATTAATGTTATGAAATAACCGTAGACAAACGTGATCATATTAAATAGCACCTAATGTAAGAATAATATGCAATCCAAATTCTGATGTGCTTCACAATGAACAAAACAAAACAAACAAAATACTTCGCTATGGTTACTCTTGGATACATTTCCCTACATCGTAGACTTAAATTCTATTGCTGTTTTGAAGGATAATGTTTTCTTCTCGTGTAATGGCATCATTCGATTAATGTTATGATGGATACATTTCCCTATATCGTAGCCCTTAAATTCTATTGCTGTTTTGAAGGATAATTTTTTTTTAATCGTGTAATTGGATCATTCGATTAATGTTATGATGGAAACATTTCCCTATATCGTAGCCCTTAAATTCTATTGCTGTTTTGGAGGATATTTTTTTCTTATCGTGTAATTGCATCATTCGATTAATGTTATGTTGGATACATTTCTCTATATCGTAGCCCTTAAATTCTATTGCTGTTTTCAAGGATAATTTTTTCTTATCGTGTAATTGCATCATTCGATTAATGTTATGATGGATACATTTCCCTATATCGTAGCCCTTAAATTCGATTGCTATTTTGAAGGATAATTTTTTCTTATCGTGTAATGGCATCATTCGATTAATGTTATGAAATTACCGTACACCAACGTAATCATATAAAATGGCACCTAATGTAAGAATAATATGCAATCCAAAACCTGATGTGCTTCCCAATGAACAAAACAAAACATCCAAAATACTTCCCTATGGTTAGACTCTTGGATACATGCAGACTTAAACTATTCCCTATTTCGTAGTTTTTATTAATAAATAAAAACTGTTTTATTACTGCAGAAACGACTTATCCTGTTATTATTTATTCAGTTTGTATATTAATCCTGTAGTAGATCCTAGGGTACACGCATAAATGGAAAATGAATTTCCTTCCCACAGCTTTAAGAGCTAAATTGCAACTAGTAGCAAATAGATAGTTGATAATTTCTGTGATAAAGAACAGTTGGTAGATTCTAACGTGCGATGTGCCATCTTAATTTATGTACTTCTCGAATGGGGTGATTTTGAAATGGAGTAAAAAGACAAGGAAATTTACTTGTTTATTTTACTTTATAATACAAGAGTGGAAAAAAGTATTTTCGGAGGACTAGGATTGTTATAAGATGCAATATTTCTTTTTCTCAACATGTGAACTTCGTTACAAAATCCTCAAATGATTTTCTATGACGAACATTCAGTAAACAAAAACAATAAAAATGATTTCTGTTCCGAGAGTATCCATCAACACTATAATGATCCTACCTGTTTTAAATAAAATTAAAACTAATTTACTTTATGAAGAAAGAAATTACGAATTCATTTTCTAATACAACATTAAAATATTTGTAAGTTTTAAAAGATGTTTCTAATTAAAATGATGTATTTTTATTTCATTTCAGGGCATTTTGAAACCAAATGCGTACATCGCTACACAAGGTAAATGCACTTTTGACTTTGTTTTTAATAAAAAAACGCTACTATTATTTCTTTTTTAATTTCTTAAACGAAAATTGAAGAAGGATTTCTTTAATCACAATTACAGTTGAACTTCAGGAAAACCCTCATTATCGATAAGTTATTGATTCTTTTCGGAAATCATGAATGTGCACAAATTTTATCAGTACAGAAGATTAATCACACGATCTGGGCCGTTTCATCATTTCAATAAAATTGGGACAAGAATAGTTTCGCTTATGTTAAGACAAAGGACTCAAACTCAGCTGAAGGGCAGTAATTTAAAAAAATAATAAAGAGCATTTGGAATAACACCATATTGTGCTAAAATTATTTAAAAACAGCATATCATTAGAGTTTTGGATAGACAGCCTCGCCCGCTCGCGATAAGAATGTTTTATTACCTGAGTGTTGCCACTGCTTGCTTTGAAATTATTGAATTTTTTAATAAAAAATTCGCTAAAGCTTTACAAAATGTGAAATAGATTATGAAACAAATTCAGGCTTCCATTTGTCCCTTCAAATTTTCCATTCAAAATTTGATGACTCTATGTACCGTTGTTTTTTCACACTGCGAAAAACATACATACATTCATGTAGATTCTTCATGATTTAATTACTTTAAATATAACACAAGGCGATAATATTTGTGGCAACAAGCTGAAAACTGATTCAGCGCTTTGAGTGATTCAACGCAAAATGCCGTTTTGAGACTAGGCTTAATGCCCATTTGGGCTAAAACAAAAAAGAAAAGGACAAAAGAAAGAAATAGAAAAAAGGAAAGAAAAAGGATTTTTTTGCTGTTAGAAAAAGAAAGTTTGTTAACTAAATTTAAACATTTTTACCATATTTTTGTGAAGACAAATTTGTATATTTGTGAAGACATTCATATAAAAATAACAGAAATAAAAATTCAAATTTCTACTCATTTTCTGCCTGAAATCTAAACGTTGATATCTGTAAGAAATTTCTGTTGGTCACAGGTTCTTCTTTAAATGCACTGATAGTTAAATATTAAAATTTTCAGGCTGTTAATTATTCAAACAATTTTAATATATTGAAATAACTACTAAGCACCTAACTAAATATATGCGAAAACTTCTGAAGTGGGACAAAAAATAATTCGGGTATAATTTAGTTCGAGAGTAGAGGCGTGTAAAAATTAAACGTTTTGTAAGAGGCTAACAGTTTGTTTCTGTTGGAATTCTGTAACCATACGATCACCCTAGAATAATAAAATAATAACGAATTAATCACCCTAGAATAGTAAAATAATAACGAATTAATCACCCTAGAATAGTAAAATAATAACGAATTAATCACCCTAGAATAGTAAAACAATAACGAATTAATCACCCTAGAATAGTAAAATAATAACGAACGAACGCGTTCAAACTTTTCTAAAAACGGTATGTATTTCTAATTCCAACTTCTCTTCACATTTTCGAAGATTCAAGTAAAGGTCCTTAGTAGACTTTTAACCATAAAAGAATGTTTTTGAAGATAAAGTTTGATGGAAAATGAAGGCTCTGGAGCAAACTTCGAAATTTGCTTGATTGATTTGTTTGTCTTCATAGTTTTGGTTTCGTCTTCGAACATTAAACGACGATTTTCGAAGGCGAACTTTACTTGAAGGGATCCTTTCAAATTTCGTATTGGTTTTCGATTATTTATTATTTCGAACAGTGTAATTTCACTTTTCAGAATCCATAAACAGTTCCGAGCTCGACGTAGCAAACAAAATGTATTTTGTATTTATGGAAATTGAAAGCACATTTTGTCCGAGGTTTATAAACACAATACGTTCCTTTACAATCTCTTTACTGTCATTTTTGTAATGTAACTTAATCGATTATATAGTGTTTCATCATCGAAATCTTTTTCAGGACGGTAGATCTAAGTTCAGTGTTTTCGTAAATGCTATCAGGTTCAGTGTTTCTCCTTACTTGCTTGGGGAACATTCAAGAACCTGACTCGGAACAGGGAGCTTACTAAAGCTATGTTCAATAAATGTGGGAAGAAGACAAGATACACAGGAAGGGTATACGAAACCCTTTATTTTTCACTCTTTACAATAATTTCCGGACTTCGGAATACAGAGACCAACCACTTGTGGTCTGAACGTAAGAATATAAAAATATTAACTAAACTCTAACTTAACTTTGTAATAATAAACAACGGCCTACGTGGAAGATTGGCCGTATATTAACAGGGAGCCGTATGTAGTACAGAGAACTGTAACACTACAATACGTTTAAAAATTATTAAGAGGATTAAACCTCTGGCCTGGAAGGCAACCAGCAACCGAGTAAAACTGCTAAGGCAAGCGGCCTGCTTTGACTAACTCCTTCCTCTCTCTCGCTTGGCAGAAAGCCACAACTTAAGTACTTGGCGTTCGCCAGACAAATTTGCATAAATAAGTTAAAGCTTTTAATTCTGGCCGGAAGTAGAAAATAAGAAGTGATAGTAAAGATTTAAAATATAAAATAAACGTTAGTAAAACTTAAGATCCTTACAATGCAAAGTCCACAAACTTTCGCAATGTTGAGAAGAACTGTATATATACTAGCTACCTATTCAGAATCTTTTAACTACACAGTACTCAACCTTTTTTTACAAAACTTGTCGGAAAATTCTATATCAAATTCAAAACGAAAAAAAATTGAGTTACCCATTGGAGGGTAGCCATAATTTTTAAAGTAGTTTTACTTCTAATCAGATTTAGGGAAGGTTCACATTACTGCCATCCTCTGTCTTGTAGCTTAAATGTTTCTGTTACGCGAAAATATAGTCTGCAGAGCTGGGAGCACTTCCGGGAGAAAAGCAGAAAGAGGAATTTTGATGCAAATGTGAACATTTTGGCTGATTCACTTTCCTTGAAGAATAGGGCGGGGGAAACATTTCTTTCCATCACGGTGCCCATAAAAATTTACATATTTTCTTTCAGGTCCAAACGAGCATACGATATCAGATTTCTGGAGAGCCGTTTGGGAACAAAAGTCACACGTCATCGTCATGCTCACCAAAGTCTTTGACTTCATCAGGGTAGGTGAATTTTTGTTCCATTTTTTTACACGTTTTTTAAAAGAAGTAGAAGTAGTTTTTCTCTTTTTCTTTATACATACGAAATATTCTTTATGCATGATTTATTTATGCTCAGTCCAGTAGGAGTGGATGGGGGTGGTCTGATCAACGCGGTCAACTTGTATAAAAGTGTCAGCAGGTAGTACGCCTTTGTTCGCCAAAGTACAAGAATGCCCCAGCATTAAGACACAAGATCCCCGGCACCCTTATGAAGTTCAATATACAGGGTTGTTATAAAACATTTTCCCGATATATGAATCCCTAGTGGCCTATTCCATCAATCAATCGAAATGAAATTTTAAAAATTGTTATTTGAACATATGCGTTCGAGATTGTGATGGTTTAAAACAATAAAGCTCTCACGGTTATGGTTACAGCGAAAAGTGTTTGAAATTTTCGAATGGAAACAGCTCTTTTTTTCCCATCCGCAACTTTGTCAGTATATTGAAACACCATAAACAGCATGGGGAAGATAATGCTTATGACGAAAATTGCCGACATAAAACATTCGCAAAGGGGAGCACTAGAAAGGACAAATTGGCAACGTGATGATGTTCAGTGAAAAATAATATATGTCCTAGGAATTATTTATTAAGAAAAAACATTATGTGTGGAATTTATGGCTACGTCTGTCTTCGAGTGTCATCTTTCTAACTACCCAGTAAAGCCTCTAAGAGCTATTGCAACGCAAAGAAGCATCACCAGTCCGTTGCAGTTTTCTCGGAGTCATCTTATTATATACACATATATATCTATATAAATATATAATACTTTTAGTGCGGCCGATGTGGAACAAAAAGGAAGATTCACAACTACGTATTATAGCAGTACTTTATGCAAAATTTCAACGGTTCGAGGCTACTCGTTTTTGAGTCAAGCGAGACATATACATACGTACGCATTTAAATTTGTACTTACGTACAGACGTACGTAAGTACGTACGTACAGATGTCACGAAAAAATTCTTTCTGTGCAAGATCTGTCGCTGTTATTCCACATAAATTAAACTAGATCTTACAATGAACCTGGCGAATTCTCGCACAGGCGTGAATAAATTACCAGCACAGAAGAAGAGTGAAAAATAACCTTCTAATTTAATTCAAAATAGCTACCAAAAAGTCACGATCTTTGTGCTTTACAAAGGCACCGTCAACTTGCGGTGAAGCTGAAACGTAGGATATAATTCGAGTCTAAATATAAAATAAAATAGCGCTGGATTAGCACGTTAAATTACGCCTAACAGGTTCACTCACAAAACCCTAACAGGCGTAATGATAATCCGAAATGGCCAAGAAGCTTACTAGCGTAACAGCGAGATAGTAACAAAAAGTGCGCTGGCTAGCGAAAATACGCTCTGAATAAACTCAGAGATTCATATGTTTAAATATGCACTTCACTTTAAATTTACATTCTGGTGAAAAAATGCGAGAGGAAGTTGAGGAGTTCAGGAAAGGTATGAAACATAAAATAAAATTGTTATGCAAAATAAAGGAAACCCTACATCTGAAGCTATTTTAAATCCATTTTATATAGCCATATATAGTCCTTTATTCTGTCCTTACGTACAGATGTCACGCAAAAACATCGCTAAATTGCATTGGATAGCGGTCAAAATTAATATTTTCGTTGAAATATGCTGCCTGAAAATTTTCGCGATTGTAATACTTCCTTTACAAGGAAGTAATAAAGAATAACAAAAGAGAGTTATGTAATGATGAAATGCTGTATTTAGAAAGATGTACAAAATTTCAACATTCTGAGGCTACTTGTTTTTGAGTAATGCCAGGTATATACCTACATATGTACGTACAGACGTCATGAAAAAAATCTCTTCCGAAGCCATTTTAGACCGTTTTTGCAGCCCGTTTTGGGAAAAAGAGTCCTTTATTCTGTTCTTAAGTACGGATGTCAGGCAAAGCATCGTTAAACTGTATTCGATAGCCATCAAAATAGACGTGATTACAATACTTCTTTACTTCGTACAAAGAAGTAAAATTTGAAAGGGAATAAAATTCTATGAATTTGTCTGATTTAAAGGAAAGAAAATATATTTAAGAAATCCTTTTCATTTTCAGGCACATTTTAATAAAAAAAAAAAAAAAAAAGAATTATATTTTTATAAGAAATACATTATGCAAAGGTATGTAATTTAAGATAATATTCTTTGATATTGTATAGAGTAAGTTTTTAAAGTTAGGTTAAGAAAATAATTCTCTTGATACCGAATTATGTAATTCGAGTATTTAATTATTATCCTTGAGTTTCTTATACGCAGAAGTATTTTCTTAACAGTTACTCTAAACCTCACATTAATTTTTCCTCCTACAGCAGTTCGACGATAGTAAATAATTAAAGGCGAAATTAATTTCCACCGTAGAAACAGTAATTTAAAATTTTACGAGATATCCTTAATAATTAAAGACATTAACTATGCCTGGATTCAATTCGAATACGAAATATTCCTATTTTACTTTAAACCGTTAGGTTGATGGTTTTGGATTCCAAGGTAATTCTATATAATTATCATAATTTTCCCAAGTACTTGAATTACTTGCGTAGGGCTGAAGTTATAATTACCTTTATTTACTCTTTTAAGGCGAATGTAAATTGTTCAGTTTCTGTATTTGTATATAGGTAATTCGTTTCTAAATTTTCTCGAAATATTTTCCATTACTGCCGAAAGGTTAAATAGAAATATGCACCTAATCTAAATGGGTAAATTTTTATGGCTTTGCTTTATGGCTTATATATAATAGTTAACTTTGGTAATTAGAGTTCAAAGATGACACAATATAAGATCTACTGGAGAGTATAAGTAAATAAATATTTAGAATGAATGGAAATATCTGTGTGTTAAAATAACAGGAAATAAGCCCCTTGTGACGCTTCTTTGGCGAAATGAAGCAACTCCAATGATGGAACACAGCAATAACTTTTATTTAACACTCAAAAAAATGGCGACATACAGACAAGAAGAGAAAACATATTCTAACATTTAAAAATAAATTACATTCTTCGTGCGAGAGTCGCACGAGGCACTCGAGTCTGGTTTCAAATATTGCCATTCACAAATACCTTAATGTTCATCTATTTAAATTATTTAAACTACAAGATTTTAATATTATTTAAAGCTGTTACACCCTTGCTATGATTTCCACAGTCACTGAAATGAATTGTTTTGGAACTGGAATTTAGAAAGCTAGCTTAACAACTGTAGGCTTCGTCGTGATTTCAGATCAATGATTGAGCGAGTTTAATCAAATGTTAAAAACGAATATTTTAATAAGAGATATTTATGTATGGGATCATCCTGAAAATATTGTCACATTCAAAGTTTTACAGAAACAGAGTTCTCATATCACGGCTGAAATACTTCTACGGTTAGTTGGTGTTGGTGTATTTAATTATGGCAAAGCACACAAGAGCTATCTGCCTAAGGGGAGGGATGCCTTCGTGGAGGACTTTCTAAGGGAAACTGGCTCGTATACACGTTACACTTGGGGAAAACCACGAAAACGACCATGCAGTCAGCGAGATTCGAACCTCGGACCGAACTACCAGTGTTCAGCGACTTTACCGCTCGGCCGCTGGTGGGCCCATTTCTACGGTTAGAAAAGTACGAATTTGACATGGCTATGTTTCAAATACTGTATCTGTAACTTTTTTGTAATATTAAACGCTTACTCAGAGAGCCACTTAAAGTAGTTATTATGAAAAACAAAATCGGATGCGGATACCACAGGACTTCCATGAACGGAACATTAAATTATGCACAGATTTTGCTGCATTTTATTTTAACGTATTTCCTCGAAATTTATTAGAGATAGATTTCTCATTCAATTGATTCAGTTCTTACTCCGTGGCAAGGCACAAGAATACATAAAACCTCAAAATATCTTCATTAAAATTTAAAACTATAGAAACACATAAAACAACAAATTCAATTAAAACAATTAAAAAAGAATTTTTACAATTAAGAGTTTCAACACAAAAGCAAGCAGTTCGGCCAGCAAGCTCGAAGGTAGATTTTTCGATGCAAGTTTACTTTTCGTCCCACTCGGCAAAAAGACACTGAAGGTGAAGAAACTGACTTAATTCACTATTCTGCTAAGTTTCAAATGTAAACAAAAATGGCTGCTATGGTAAAAAAAATTAAGTTTAGCCGCACTTAAGCAACGTTTAAATTGTTGATAATTCTACAACTATTTCTTGCAGATTAACTAAAGACATAAAAACCTTAACTAGGAAGATACGAACAACATAATTCAATAATTTTGAAAGTAAAAAAGCCACAATTTACCAACTTGTAAGAATAAAAAGGACTGAGCTCACTCAACCGTGTAACAAAGGGGCGATATATATATATATATATGTAAGATAAAAATGTATGAATTAGAATTATAATATAACTATAAACATTAATTCTACCTCTCTATTCTATAATCGTAATAACTTATCTGCATTGCGTCATTCAAATTAATCATGCGATCTTATGTAAACCGTTAATACCAGATGCCTCTTGACCACCACCATCACCGAATTGTAAACCAAAACTTTTCTCTTTCGCGTGCTTCCATCTTTCATCTTCCCCTAACTACTCCGCTTTTCAGCTTTTCTCTCTCTCTACTGTGCTAAGATGTAATTTCACTGGCTTGCTTTCTATCTCAACAATATCAAAAATGTAAATCTTCTGTGGAAAGGCACGACTAAAGTGCCAAGTGATCGTGGCCACAAATATCAATTGGAAATAAAAATGGAATTAAAACAGCCTCCACTGCCAATTTCTTTAGATAATACCAAGTTAGCATTATTAGCATACTACGCAATCAAAATCTTCTTCAATATGGGTCTAATCACGCATCTACAGTGTTCCGTCTTTCTTTGTGCTTTTATTATGAAATATATATATATATTTATAAACTTTTGGTGGCGACCGCCCACAACCAAAACGTGAGATGCACAACTACATGTTACA